GGTGGCGCGTCAGCGCCCTCTTGTTCACGCGGAGGAGGGGGAGGGGGAGGAGGTGCAGGAGCACGAGGAATAGGAGGCAGGAGGTGCAGGAGCACGAGGAAGAGGAGGGGTAGGGAGAGGAAGAGGAGGAAGAGAGGGAGCGGGAAGAGGAGGATGGGCAGGACTGCCAGGAGGAAGAGGAGGACGATGATGAGGGGGATGCAGCGGTGGTCGTGTTCCAGGGGGTTGCAGGAGCAGGTGCTGGTGGAGGAGGAAGCCCAATGTCAAGATAGGAAGGTGGAGGGCCAGGAGGACGCGAAGGAGGAGGAGGACGAGGAGGACGCGTTGCCCGCGGTTCTCCGCCAGGACATTGCAGCGGGGAATCCCCATTCCACGCTGCTGCCTCTGGTTATGTAGAGCTCTGTGATTCGATACTCCCCAGACCTCTCCACGGGTGCGTCGAGGCGGATCCCGCCACGGTGGCGAGGGAAGGGCAAGGGCATCGGCGTCTCATTTTTCTGTCCGGGGCCCAGGGCGGCCGCCGCCGCCTCCAACGGAGGTGCCGAGCCCCCGGCTTGCCGGGGCCCGCCTCCTTCGGGCGCGGCCTAACCGACCCGTAGCAAGCCATACCCTTCCATGACGTCACCTCTCCTCGCAAACTCCCCTCCGGCCGCGTACATAATTACGTCTTGGGGCGAGGCGAGGGGGACGTCACGGAAGGGGATGGTTTGCTCGAGGTCGGTTGGGCCGCCCCAGGCTCCTCCATCAGCGCCGGGTTCATGACGGCGAAGATCGAGCCCCTCGTGACGCTGGCGGCTGGCTGCCTCGTGCGCCAGTGGTTGAACGCCTGGCGGCCGCGGCGAATTCGATGGCTGCGGCGACGATGTCGATCGCGACTTCGACGACTCCCGCCCAAAGAAGGGTCCAGGAGAAGGCGACGGAGGCCACCAAGATCCCCAAGATTGTCCCAAGACGGCCTAGAATGCCCCCGGCCCCAAGAGGTCCCCAAGACGATCCAAAATGGCCCAAAACGGCCGACGAGGGACGAAAGCCGACCCAAGAAGCCCCCAATACGGACAAAGACGCTCCCCATGAGACAGTCCCCAATACGTGGCTCACAGGGGGGGATCGAACTGGCTTGCGCAGTCGCAGATGAAGAGCGAAAACAGGCATAACCATAAACATTCGGAAAGCCGCGCGGGCTTCTTTGGATCTGCGCTGGACCCCTCTCCCTGGCGCGCGGAGCGCGCCAGGGACGGCGCCAGAGACGCCGCCAGGGGGGCCAAGCGCAGATCCAAAGAAATACGCGCGGAACGCCGAAAGTGTATGTGTATGCCGTGTTTTGCTCCTCGACTGTTATCGACCGGGACACGTGACAACGTTCGCTGCGCAATCGATCACGAACTCCAACACTGTATTCTGATTAACACCATGACTCTCCTGCGGCTGCGTGGCCGCAAGTGCACCACCGAACGGATCAGGAAAAGGAGGAAAAGGAGTAGGAGGAGATGGCCGCGGTCGGAGAACTCAAAGGCCGAGAGAGAGGGAGGTCCACGATCGTTCGCTGCGCAGCCGATCACCATCTGCCCAACACTGTATACGAGGTCCAGACCTCTGGCGCCCTCCTCTCCTCGCGGAGTGGGCTTCTCGAGCTGCCGGGGGCCCAGGAACGGCTTCCATAGGCGTCGAAACAACGAGGATCCGCCGCCCCTGCCAGCATGTTTGCGGCGTTTTTCCCTTGGAGTCGTCGTCCTCGCCGTCGCCGAGGACGAGGATCAACTCGGGTGAGGACAAACCGAGAATCTCTGAGATTCGGCAGCTCTGGGCGCCGCGGCCTTCTCAGAGCGTTCCGGAATGCTTTGACAGCATTCCAGAACGTTATGGAACTGATCTAGTCTCGTCCTCCCCGTCCGATTACCCCCTTTCCCTGGGCCCTCCTCTTCAGGCGATCCAGCCAGACGGGAATCTAACAGCGTCGTAATCATTTCCTTTGATCCCTTTCCTGGCGGGGGGGTGGTCACCAGGGGGGCGTCCTGGGGGTCGTGACCTCCCCCACTGGCGGTCCCCCGTGGACAACGGCCGCTGCCGCCGCCGCCGCCGCCGCCGCCGCCGCCGCCGCCGCCGCCGCCGCCGCCGTCGTCGTCGTCGTCGTCGTCGTCGTCGTCGTCGTCGTCGTCGTCGTCGTCGTAGTCAGCGTCTTCCATCTTCAGGGTCGGCGGCACATGCCGTAAGGCCTTCCGAAGAAAGGAAGAAAGCATGGCATAAAAATAAACTCTCGGAAGCAATTCTCGGAGGTCCGCGCTGATTTCTTGGATCGTCGCTGGACCCGCAGAGGCCCAGCGCCGATCCAAGAAACCCGCGAGGAGCTCAGAGAAATGATGCTTGTGCATGTCGTGTTGGGGAAACGCAAGGCTGGGGTTCGGGGGACTCGGGTTGGCCTGACAGGGCCATCGTGAAGATGACGCGACGCAATCTGAAATTTGACGCGAGATCCCGCCGCAGGCATCCTACGAAACCTGGACCGTCAAAATCCAGGGCGGGCTCGTCAAAATTGCCCTTCGGGTTAAACCGCCCGTCGCGCTCCCTCTCCAAGGAGGCCTCTGAAACGTGGGCCCGCTGCGGAGCAGGCAGCGACGCCTGCTCGAAACGACCAGGAACCAATGCCACCCGCCGCCCGTCCCCGCCAGCTTCGCTCCCCCGCTCCGGCCTCACGCGGCCGACACCGGGCAAGGGGCCCTCGCGAGGTTTTTCGGCGCCTCCGGCACCGCATCGTCGGCGTCGGGGTCGCCGTCGTCGTCTTCGTCGTCACCGTCGTCGTCGTCGTCGGCGGGCATCGTCGCCGTCGCTGCGCCCCGAACCCCGAGCCCGCCCCACCGCTTCCTGAAGCAACGTTGTTTCCCTCCTCCGTGCGAAGTCCCGATAATGAAAATTGCCAGCTTCCCACCTGATGGGAAGGGGACTCCAACACTGATGGGAAGGGGAATCCACTCCTGATGGGAAGGGGACTCCACCCGCCAAAGCAGAAGTGCCAAGGAGGAAAAACATTATAGTCGGGCGCGCGATGACATGAAATATGCCTCCGTAGATCTGTCGCGTGGGGGCTGGATCCACGGACTGGGGAACGTACGACCAGAAACATGACACCAATACCGCCTGATTTGGCGATGGAGCGAGCCGATGCTGCACGGAAGCGGGGCCCGTCGCTAAAACCACGCGCCCCGATCAATGTCTGCGCTTCCTTGAAACTGCCGGGTGGCCTCGCTCCGCAGGCGCACGTCCAAGCACCTCGGCTTCGGCTCCCCCAGGTCCGTGAGGCGCCAGCACGAGAACAGCTGCCCTGGGGAACGCCCCGCCTCTCCCGCCCTCTGGCCAGGCCGCCTGGCCAGCAAGAGTGACAAGGGTAAGAGCTACATCTTCGACCGTGGACACCGTGTTGCCCATTGGCCCTGGGCGGTATTCGGTGGTCTTCTGGCGGTCTTCGGACGGCATCTGTCGGTCTTCTGACGGCCTTCGGCGGTTTCTGGCGGTCTTCATGGCGAAAGCTAGATGGTTGAGCTTAGCAGGGGGTCCATGCAAACCTTGCTTGAACACCTCAGGAAGAGAACTCAGACCTCCAACGCGGCGAAGAAGTATAGTAGTAGTAGTAGTAGTAGTAGTAGTAGTAGTAGTAGTAGTAGTAGTAGTAGTGGTGGTGGTAGTCGTAGTAGCAATAGTAGTAGTAGTAGTAGTAGTAGTAGTAGTAGTAGTAGTAGTAGTAGTAGTGGTAGTAGTAGTAGTAGTAGTAGTAGTAGTAGTAGTAGTAGTAGGTGGTAGTAGTACTAGGGGTAGTAAGTAGTAGTAGTAGTAGTAGTAGCAGTAGCAGTAGCAATAGCAGTAGCAGTAGCAGTAGCAGTAGTAGTAGTAGTAGTAGTAGTAGTAGTAGTAGTAGTAGTAGTGGTAGTGATAGTAGTAGTAGTAGTAGTAGTAGTAGTAGTAGTAGTAGTAGTAGTAGTAGTAGTAGTAGACGTAGTAATAGTAGTGGCTGTGGTAGTCGTAGTTGTGGTACTAGTGGTATTATTGTCATTCGTAGTAGTAGTAGTAGTAGTAGTAGTAGTAGTAGTAGTAGTGGTAGTAGTGGTAGTAGTGGTGGTAGTGGTAACAGAAGTAGTAGTAGTAGTAGTAGTAGTAGTAGTAGTAGTAGTAGTAGTAGTAGTAGTAGTAGTAGTAGTAATAGTAGTAGTAGTAGTAGTAGTAGTAGTAGTAGTAGTAGTAGTAGTAGTAGTAGTAGTAGTAGTAGTAGTAGTAGTAGTATAGTAAGTAGTAGTAGTAGTAGTAGTAGTAGTAGTAGTAGTAGGTAGTAGTAGTAGTAGTAGTAGTAGTAGTAGTAGTAGTAGTAGTAATAATAGTAATATTAATATTAGTAGTAGTAGCAGCAGCAGTAGTAGTAGTAGCGGTAGTAGTAGTAGTAGTAGTAGTAGTAGTAGTAGTAGTAGTAATAGTAGTGGTAGTAGTAGCAGTGGTAGTAGTAGTAGTAATAATAGTAGTAGTGGTGGTAGTACTAGTTGTTAGTGGGTAGTCGTTAGCAGTAATAGCAATGGTAGTAATAAACGTCGTCGTCGTCGCCGTAATAATGGGGATAGTGGCAGTGGTCGTAAAAGGCGGAACAGAGGATGAGGAAAAGGAGGAGGAAGGGGATGAATAAGGAAACAGGAAGAGGAGAACGAGCGATGCTGCCACATATCAGTGTCTTCAGGAGAATACAAAGGAAGGTGTGTGGGGGATGGGTTTATTTTTTCCCTTGCCAACTCTCGTTCGCTTCGCCTCCCCAAGCCCTCACAAACCCGGAAAGGAACACCTCGGAACTCCCGAACAAATCCTGGGACGTCCTCGCTTTTTCCTCCCCGTCCCTCGGCGGTCGGTACGACCACTTCGATTCCCCTTTTGGTGTGAGGACTTTTCGAGCTGGACCGATTCGCGAGGGAAGGAAAGAGGCGACTGAGGAAGGGTGGGGAGGAGGCCAGGGACAAAACATGAGGGGGAAGGATTGGGGGTGGGCGAGGAGCATGCAGCAGGGGGAGGCGGAGTGGGGGGGAACCCGAAAAGGGGGAAATCTCGTTGCCCCCCACCCCTGCGGTCTTCCAAGCTGGATCGATCCGCAAATGTTCAATGCAAGAGTCACAGCGCAAACACCAGACGTGTTTCATTCCATGACGCCCACCAGCACGTGGAAGGGGTCCAAGCCCGACTGAATACTGCCAGGAAGGAACGACTGATGGAGGGCACCCTGGGCCCGAAAACCTCCAGGAATACCCGACAGCCTCCGACCACCCTCCTCCTCCCCCCAGCGGGTCCGTTCGCCAACTTCTCCGCCGGCCGCGACTCGTACAAGACCGCTATCACCACCCGGTCCTGGGCAGGCCCGCGCGCAAGGTCGTCCGCTGGTGGGGGAAGCCAAAGGCGGAGGTGGCCAATCGGCACGGGGAGGAAAAGGAGGAAGGGGGGCACATGAGGTTCCCGAAGGCTGTGATGAGGATAGTCCGGAAGGGGTGGTGGGCGACGACGAAGAAACAAAGAACAACATTGGGAGGATGAATCAAGGGGGACTCGGCGGGGAAGGGTGATGATGAGGATGATGTACCTGATGGCGAGGAAGGCGATGATGAACATGACGATGGTTGTGATGGTGACTAAGACGATGCTGAACATCGCGGCGCTGGCGGCGATGATGGCTTCGATGGGGAATATGCTGATTATGATAATTCGGATGCGGATGCTGATGCCACTGTTGCTCACGATGACCAGGTTGAGGACAACACCCACTGTGAGGTTACTTTTTGCATGGCACTCGCTCGAGCTTGGCCGAATGCAATGATGCAGTCAAGGCCGAAACTTCGTTGGCTTCGTCATAAAAAAAGTGCTAGACATCATATCGTACACACATATGGCCGAAACGTAGAATTGGGGATGCGAGAACGCGACCGCGAACGAGCAGCAACACATCGAATACACTCAGAAATATAATCGGGGGAACGACGGGGCGGGGCACGTGTAAAGGTCGCGGATCGCCTGTGGAACGGCGGTCCGCATGTTTTAGCTTTCGGTGGGAACGTTGCAGCAAATAAAATATTACCATTTGCGGTGACGATGAACGGTTAATGCACAACCCAAGCAGCCGTCCCTCGGCAGTCCTCCACTGACTTCGGTTCCAGGCAGCCCAACACATCCTCGCTTTGAACTACGCTGGAGACGCCTGGGATCGGTCAGGGAGGCCAAGCAAGCGGTTCGCTTCGAAAAGTGGTCGGAAGAGGGCGCCGTGGGGCACAGGCTAGGAGCTGGCGAGCCTCGCGCTGCTCATTGAGCATCACCTGGGGGGCTGGCACAGCTGGGCAACGAAGCGAGGTGCCGCAGGCGATGGCGCCCTGGCAACCCCCCAAACAAAAAAACGCTTATCTGAGGTGGTTGCGCCCCAGAGTCTTGGCGGAAACGAAGCTGCCCACACCTGGGCAACAACCAGGTGCAAACCCGCGTGCCCCCAAGCCGCTTGAACCCACAACAAACGTTCCAAAGTGACAAACAATCAGGGGGAACAGCTCGCGCGTTGCACGTGTAGTTGCTGTATCGCGCTAGGAAGCGCGCAAGCTTCTGGGTATCCAGTCAGCCCCCGAAGCCGCTCGACCTTGCCTGGGGTTACGGGGGGGCTTTGGGCTTGGATTATGCGAGCATCCGTCCGATTTGTGTTGATATGGCATTGCACATTCAGAGGCTGGCAAAGGTTTGTTGCGGTTCGAAATTCGCTATCTCTTTGAGGGCTGGGGCCGCGGTATTAAGTCGCACGTGTTGCGGGGCCCAACTCTAGAATAGTTCTTTCACAAGAAAAATGACGCGCGCCCTCTAACTTAGAGTGAAAGCAGCTGGGCCCCGCGGGCCCGAAGAGGCTCACGCACCCAGACCCGCACATTACAAGTGGCACGCCTTTTCGTCAGCGATCGGCGGCAGCCCCGACATATGAATGAGAGCGCCCAGCTTCTCATTTCTATCGACTCCAGCCCGGCTCCTGAGAGTCGGCAGGCTCGGAGTCTCCGAGCCTGGCCCCAGCGGCCAGCCGCTTAGCTGCCATGGGCGATTTTGACGTCCTTCGAAGAACCAACCCTCCCTCTTCACCACTTCGCCCAAGTCCCGCGGCGAGGTGGCCCTGCAGCGCTTCCCGAAGAAATCCGAGTGGTCGGGGTTGTCCTTCAGGCAAGGCAAGGTGTGCGTGTACTTCTGGTCGGCCACCAGCCACTGCAAGTCCATGTAGTCGATGATGTGGGTGACCACTGCTTCCGTCGTGGCGACGCTCTGCTTGGCGGTGGGTGCGCCCTCGTCGGCCTTCTCAGCCTTCGCGCAATCGCGCAGGCGAGGCGCCCGTCGCTCCGCCGAAGGTTGTTGGCGAGGCCCTCGATGTGCAGCTTCGGTCCAGCTCCGTCGCTGTCGCCGATCGGCAAGCGCGCGGCCTCGCTTAGCGACGCGGCTTCGCCCTCGCAGACCGCCCTGCCCCAGAAGGGGAGGTTGACATCCTTCCCGCGATGTTGACATCCTTCCCGTCGCTCTTGTTGGCCAACTCCACCTGGTGCACCTCTAGCTTGATATTCCTGTTCGGCGTGCCCGCCTCGCGAGGGTCGCAGCGCTTGAAGCAGAGGCCGTTGGCGTCTTGGCGGGTGCCGTAGGCGGCCGCGTGGTGCATCATCGCGCCGATGCCGCGATGCCCCTGGGAATCATATGCCGCCCGGCCCCCTCCTGCATCAGCAGGGCCCTCCACCAGTTGCCGACTGTGGTCAGCGCTGGGTTCTCCACCTCGGTCACCGCGACGCCGTCGCCGCTCATCTTGCTCTCGACCGCCACTGGGGCCCTGGCTGGAGGCGGCCCACCGTGCTTCTCCCATAGTCGTTGGGTCACGATCTCCGATGTCTTCGCGTAGAGGAGGACCGCCTCTGCCTCGGCCTGGTGAATCTGGTCGCGCGCGGCCGCGATCTCCTCCACAACGGCTTCGTGACTGGACTGGCAGAGCTCGATCTGCCGGGCGATGGTCGTCCTGATCTTGATGCCCTCGCTCGCCAGCTGGCGATTCAGCGCTTCGGCTGAGGCCCTCTTTATCTGGTCGAGGAACGCTGTCTTCCCCCCCGAGAAATACTGCCCTCCATTGGCGCGAATAAGCGCACCCACGTCGACATGCTCCGACATCCGTTTGCCCGATGCCTCTGCGAAAGACGAGCCAATTACGCCCCCTTTCCGCAGACATGCCAGTGACAAGCTGGGAGAGGAAGGCAGGCGTCTCCGCGAATGCGTCCTTGCCGAAGATAGCGACGTGGTAGGACTCAAACAGCTCCTGGACTACCCTCCGACAGTGCATCGGCAGGCAAGGTCACCCCACCGACTTCGCAGCCTCCTGAGCAGCAGGAGGCGGCGCAGAGACGTAGGTCATGGGACCAATGCCCTCGAGGATGCGGAAGAAGAGCTGGGGCCGCATGGCCCTCAAGAGGCTCGTGATCACATCGACGATCTCTGCGATCGAGTCCGCGACGTCGCGGGGCAACATCTCGATTGGCCCGCGCTGCTTTGCCGAACCCAAAGCTTTTGCCGCGCCGCCCCGCTCGATGGGGGCTTCCGCGACGACCGGCTCCGCAATGCCAGCGGGGGCAAACGCTGCGATCTGCTTCCCCTTCTCGGGCTCGCCCATGTCGGCCGAGCTATTCGAGAACTCCATCAGCTTCATCCGCGCCTCGTTGGCCAGGCGAGCTGGGAGGCGCTGCGTCGATATCGGCATGCTGGTGTTGTGGTCCTTGAAACTCTTCATGGCTGCGGCGGTCTCCGCGGTCTCCGAAGCTCAGATGAACCCAACAAACTCATCGACGGCGGCCGCGCGGTCGGCAGGCGCCTCGGCACCATCCTCCCCGAGGAAGCATTCCTGGATCTCCCTATGCGCGTCGGCGCACAAGGACGCATTGCAAGCCTCCTCGCTGGGGCGCGGCTGCAGCTCGGCGCTCCTGCGAACGTGGCTGCGGAACAGCAGTCGCGATGCAAACCGGCCCTTGAGTGCGCGTTGGGGCCAATTGAGCGCGACGGCGCAGCTCCTCGTGAAGCATGCCTTGAGCGCGGCGAGCTCCAGGGACCTGGCCTTGAAGGCCTGGCGCTGGCCCAGCCGAGTCAGGCGCGCCTCGCGGTCCGCCACGAAGGGGAATGGGCCATGGCAATACATGGCCACACTTGAAAACGGAAGTAACATTTGACAAACACATCCGAACACACAAAGAGCCCATAGCCCCCTCCCCATGGCGTGGACAAGGCCTCGGCCTGGCAAATGAACTCGAGCCTCGTCTTGTCCTTGTCGGTGATCTTCAACTGATCACGACCCGTCGTCGCCTCTCCTCTTGGTCGTGATCTCGTCCTCGATGATGGTTGCCACCGCAGAGGGCGATGCGCCCCGCTTAGCATTGGCCTGCATCTTCTGCGCGATCTTGTCCTGAAAGGCTTTCTTGATGTCCGACTTGCCCTCGGCACGAGAAGTCGGTTTCGATTTGGCAGCGTCGGCGGCCTCCTTGGCCAGTTGCCTCACCTTCTTTTTATTCTCATTCGTGTCGGCCTTGGCCTGCTTCCTGAGCAGCGCAATGTGTTTCTGTGTGGTCAGTTTGCTGCCCTCCTTCAGCATCTCGAAAACTGCCGTGTTCTCCATCGTCTTGAGCAACTCGCGAACGGGCTGGTCGGTCAGGGTCATGTCAAGGAGGCCCACTACATTCGGGAGGAGGGGGCTCTTGCCGAGCACATCCGAGGCGGGGGTCATCATCGGGGGGATGTCGACGATCGTCTCTGGCCCCCTGTGGGCGCCCTTCAAGACTTTCGGCCATCCTACGCAGACGGCACCTAACACTGACCACCCACCACCAACTTCCCAGGCCCCGTGTGGGCCCAGGAACAGGTACCAATACCAGTACCATGCTTTGGTAAAGCAAAAACAAATGCCAACAATTGCCAACCCCGGAAGAGATTGCGCAGGAATGCACGGGCTACGAGAAGGGTGGGCTCGTGGCTCGTGACGACCCATCTGCGTTGGACGCCTGACCCTGGCCAGGGCATCGGCAGACAGGACGACGTTCTTCGCCGGCATCGGGCCCATGCGTCGCCGAGCTCCAGGAACGCCTTCTCGATCGCCCCCCCCCCCCCCCCCTCCACGCAGCGAGTCGCCCTTGTAGTGCCCCGACGTGATCTCGATCCTCTGCGCATCCCTACGGCGCGCAGCGCGCCGGATGTAGTAGTTCTTGGATGTCCCCCACTGTCCAGGGTAGACTTTGTTCGCGATCTTGAAGTGCTCGCCCCCGTAGAGGCTCTGCGTGCCCATCGACTTGACAGTGATCTTGTGCATCTCCTTGCGCGCC